ACTCTAGTACATATTAAATTTTACTGTTATTGACAAATGATAAAATAGAATGGCAATTACATTAACATTACCAATTCTAACATGAAAATAGTTAAGAAGTTTGTATTTTAATATAAATTGAACGCTACATCCAAAACTAATCACAAGGTGATCAATAAAATAACTGTCGGGAAAAGTGTGTTAGGCGCAGCATTTCATTCATTAACGGAGCTTTTAAGAACACTGTCATTTTCTCCTCTACTATTATCTCGTTATACGGGTGAAAATGGTACATATTTTAATATCGATTTTAGAAACAGGAAATTTTCATAACGAAATAACAAAGTCGATTATTTAACTAATAATTATCGAGTGAAGAAATTCCATTCTCAAAGGAAGTCAAATATCTAGGAGTAATCCTAGACAAAATCCTCTCATGAAATGAACATTTGCAGAGAGTTTTACACAAACCTAGACTATCTTTGTGGACTTGTCGTAATCTTTGTGGAAAAAATTGTGGTCTTACTCCTGAAAGAGCCAGTACAGGGCTCTATGTCACTGTGTTTAGATCTATGATCACATACAGAACAGCAGCCTGGTATAGGAAAGTCTTATAGACTTTAGTTATCAGTAAACTTTCACGAATTCAACAAGTAGCTGTATTGGCAATCTCTGGTGCGATAAGCACAACGCCAACTCTAGCAACGGATGTTCTGCTTGTCTTATCCCTTTTGCATTTGCATATAGAGAAAGTGGAAAATACACAAGTATTTGTATATTGCATTATAGATTTTTGATATCGAAGGATATGAGTTTGGATAATTATTGTTGATTACATTTTCAAGTTTCTGCACAAGATGGTTAGAGCTTTTAGACTGTATTTTAGAGAAGAGCTAAAATTGTTAAAAAGGCACTTTTGGATATTCTTAGAAATATTCTCTGAAGGAGTGTTGGCATTACTTATGTTGGTCTGATACTATGGTCTGTTTTGTGTAACTTGATAGGGCTTTTAACGCAATGTATTGAAGGGTTCATTTCATATGTGCCAAAAGTATTTATATTAAATTGATCTAAGCTCTCCTTGTTTTTATTTATCAATTGTTTAAGTCTTTTGTGATATTGTAATGTGGATTTTTTATTGATACGTTGTATATTGTTTTGTTTGAAAAAATCTAAAGTTTTATTGATATCTCTGTCAAGTACCTATCACAAAACCTGCGTTTTTATCACCTGGTGTAACAATTAAGTTGTTGTTATTAATTATTTGTTTAAGATTTTTAACATTATTAATAATATCCCTTTCATTATATGAACTTTTGTTGTTTTTGTTTAAAGCTTTTATGAAATTTAAGTTATCATTAGGTATATTTTGAAAATTAGTGTGCTTACAAAGTTGAGATTCAAATGCTATGGCTAATTCTATAAGTTTTAATTGATTATGGATTGAAAATTTATGGCTCAAGTTCAAGATGAGTATCGCTGAGATTGGTGAATCTAGGTGTAAAGTAATGAACATAATCTTTGGTATTATCAAAAATTATCGAAAAGTGTGTTTATCCAGCAAAATTCTTTTAATGACAAGTTCAACAAGTTGGTTATAAGTTTTAGTATGGTGTCTATTTTGTTGCTTTCGATGAAGGTACTCTCTGATTTGCCCCCTCATAAGTTTTATTTCCATATTTAATTAAAATTTGTTGAATGTTTTGGCAACCCTTAGATGAAATGAGCGTGGTATAACTTTGTGTTGTATGCATTGGTGTAGAAAATTGATGTGATCGTTGATCTTCTCCCTCCTCAACATATTACCCCTTAACACGTTCGCTACCGCGCCTTCTGTAGTACTTTTTTCCCGTGTACCATTCGTAGTTTCTTTGATTTCGCTAAATTAATACTGGACTTTGCATTTCTAAGTTTTGTACCAACGTCCAATGGACACACCCGAATTTTTTCAAAGTCTCTATTTCTTTTTCTAAATACAAGGTAATGTGCTATACAAACCAAAATGAATACCACTCATTTTTACCATTTTGGGGTAGCCAAAATATTACAAAACATAATTATTGTGCACTGTGCCAGATTCTGAAGCATGGATTTACTCATAAACCAGGGTTTCCTGGACATATCGGGCAGTTGTATCTGGATTTCTTGTATACTCCACCTCTGCTATACTGGCGACACCTCTTCATCGCGGATTGTCATTCTGTGTGGATTGAACTGTCTCCAGATAATGGAATTCTGTTGCTAAGGTGTGCGAAAAACTGTTATGGCAACAAATGAATCAGTTTGTTTCATTTGAGGATATTTTGCCTCAAGTGCAGTCGGGTTTTAGATCGGGGATTAGCTGCTCCATAGCACTTTTGTGTGTAGTGGATGATATTTTGAGGGCTACAGATGACAACAATATAACTATCCTATGTCTTATAGACTATAGTAAAGCCTTTGATATGATCGATCATCAGCTGCTTTTTGCTATATTGTATCACAATGGGGTTGGACCTAAGGCATTGAATTTGCTTAGTGAAGAATATGTTGCTGGGTGAGAGCAAGCCGTGAGCCTAGGCAGTAGGTCAGATTTTCTGGTATCTACTTCTGAGTGTCCTCAGGGGTCTATATTGTCACCACTGTTGTTTTTTATTTGTGTTAGAAACATACCAAACTGTTTAAAATATTCCAAATATCACTATTATGCTGATGACACCCAGATTTATGTATCGGGTAAGGAAACGGAGTTGGATGAGTTGTGTGGTCGGCTTGAGAATGATTTGTCGTCGATCGTGGATTATTCCCAGCGACATGGACTACAAATTAACGGTAGCAAATGCGAGCTTATTGTATTTGGTCCGCTTGTATATTGTATATAACATGAGATATTATCTTTCCCGAAAGTTGAAAATCATGCTCTGTGATTCCTTGGTCCTGTCCCATTTTAATTATGCTGATGTACTGTACTCTCCGTCCTTGACTTCTCAGCTGTGAGCGAGAGTGCAACGAATACAGAATTCATGTATACGCTTGATTTTTGTTTGAGACGGAGAGATCATGTGAGTCATAAACTGGAGAAGCTTAATTGGCTTAACATGCATAATCGAAGAACAATGCATACCTACACTGTTCTTTTTTATAAAATAATTGTTACGGGGGTGCCTCCTTACCTAACTGATAAAATCCTAAAACTTAATATTAGATTTAAGGGAAACTTACCAAATTTTTAAGTTATATAACATGTACATTTTCGGCATCCATCACCAATTTCGGTGGACTCACTTAGTTAGCCATGTTTAAAAAACCGTTTCGGGCTCAATTAACAAATTCTTGATTTAGCTAAAAAAATGAAAGTATGGCTTTGTTTCCGTAATTAAATATGATTTCTAGTGCTGTATCATTATGATTTCAATTTCAATTTTGTTTTTAATTTTGTTATATTTAAGTTCTTGTTACTATTAAGATTTTTTCTTTTGTATTTGTTTTCAATGGAGCAATAAACTATATATTATTATCATTATAAATAAATAATCCAAGAACAATATATAAAATGTAATAGAATCAAATTAACTTTTAAAAATTCAATAAATATTGTATGTACATGATCTCGCACATCATCGTACAGTGGGCTGAAGACAGACTTCGCCTAAAGTGAACCAGTTCTCCTGGAATGAGACATGCTATGTTGTTTATTAACATCGCCACTGTATTAACATGTCCAAACCCAAGGTTTATATATTAAAGGTTGTCTAAGTTCCTATGCTGCAATACTTTGATTTTAGTTTGTGGGCGAGGGGCAAGAGCAGGAGTGTTTCGTGACGTAAGCGATCACGGATTGCGCACGCAACCTCATGGCCATGTGGTGCTCCATGCCTTTGTTTAATTTGAATTGCTTGGCGGTATTATTTTCCACATGTGACGTAATGCGCAGTATGATTGCGTACGAACCTAGACAACCTCTTATATATAAACCTTGGTCCAAACCCGGGAATATTTTAGGACTTGCTCGTAGCAGCATTAAAGTTCTAATGGGTGTCTTTACTGGGCACTGCCTACCCGATATGTAATTTATGTGAATGTAAATATAATAATTATCGAACAATAAATTTTCAATTATACTCTACTTAGCGGATATTTATCATTTAATTATTCGCAATTGTAGTTGAGTTTGTAGTTGTTGCTTAACTTGACACCAATATTCTGGGATCGTCTGACGTAAAGACGTCGGTTTCATAGTCGCCGGATGCGACAAGCGCACCCGCTTCGACACGTCCGATTCGTGAATATTTGATTTCAATTTGAAATTCAAATACACGTGACTGAATATGTCGACACAATCGACCGGGAGGGTGCGCAGCATGACGGAGGCTGGAAATTGAATACTGGGAAACGTTAAATAAAACGTTGCCGGCGTGTTTATCGCGTAAAGTGTACTCGGAGTCTGGGTGATGTTGGCGCGCGACGAGATGCCGCCGGCGAACGCCACCCTACGTCGCGATTACTCGGATCAGACCCGGAAGATTTGTACTGAGACAGGGATGAGCTCGCAATTATCCCGGATAAAAGTCGACCGAACTCTACTACTGCTACTGCGACTTTTAACCAACCCTCTTCTACTTCTTTACACGATGAATTCGGACTAAATTCAGTTTGAGTTTTCTTATACTTGATGGTTAAATACTAGCGACAGAAAAGAAAATTAAAAACAAAAAAAAGTAACATTTAAAATTTATTTCTTTGGGAATCGTTTCCTTTTTTATTTGAGAGGGTTGACGAAACAATTGTAACAGAAAGAGGGTGTTAAATGGAACGTCCGCGTACATAATTGCCGTTCGTCGCCAAAGTAGACAAACGACGCCGGTTTTCGAAAGTTTTTATTGGAGATGTAGCTTCGAGAGAGAGACGACCATCCCCCAAAACCCCTATAAATTATTCAAAAGAAACGCGAAGGGGCCAATAGATGTCTCTTGGAAAGCGACGTAACGTCGTCTTTTCCCTTCACCAATTCTAATGTCTCTTTTTTGCTTCTTATGTTACAGCCGGGTGCGATAACTGGCAGGAATGGTGGACTTACGACGGTATTTCCGGTGAGTGAAATAATGTTTTGTTAAAATAAACGATAGAGTAACAAATTTATTTGTTCAAATTTAAACAATCAATTTAAAAAAAATTAAAATCATTTATTATTGAGTTTTCTCGCTTTAATAATTGATGGGTTTTACACTTTATTCATGTTAAAATTTAAATAATCTGATTAATCTTAGTTGAGATGAGAAGGTTCTTTTATAAAGAGAGGGAAGCGGAAAAATAACACCACGATTAGCAATGTAAATATGGAACCGAGATCGATTTGCTCTGGTCTAACGGTGACGATGTCGACGTCGTCGACAAAAACAAAGTGAAAAAACGGTGTGGAAAATTGGCGTAATCCGTTTTACGGGTTCGCCGAGTTTATGAATTGTAAATGGGGCTTATTATGTAAAAGAGGCGGTACCGCTCGGACCGGGACCGTATTAATTATAAGAGATTGGCACCGTATTGAAGCTCCGCGTACCATTATTAACATAATGGCGAACAATTTTTTGTTATAACCATGAAAAATTCTTACACGATCTGAAAAATGTTACAAGATCCTTGCGGTAATAACCGTTTCGCGTTCAGTTTTACGACCAACGTCATAAAGTATAAACTAAAACCGTAAACTAAACTTGTTTAGGGACCGACATGAATACAGTTTAATAATAACACCAGCTCAGAAGTATGTAGGAAATTAATATTGATCCCTTATTTATACTAAAACTAAATCCATAACAATAATAGCGACCAAATATACAACAATGCGTCGCGATTAATTTCCGCTTTCGCGACAGTATATTTACTAAAACGTTATCTACAGGATCTATTGTGTTTGATATTGTCACATATTCTCTGTCAAATAGGCAACACATTCAGAATGCCGTGATCCGATGTATGTGCAGGTGACTAATGAAGGGAGAAGACATCGAACAGGGACATGAATGTAGTTGTCGTGTTTGTGCACTTGCTACTAATTGACATTTCACCTATGTATTTTGGGAAGTAATCTATGCATATACCTTTATTGATAATCTCTAAAAGCTATCCTTGTATCTAAGCTGTCTAATACAAATATCTCTGATGTTGTAAACATTATTAGTGCCATTCAAAATACTTGGACGGTGGAAAGCACACGGGCATAAACGATAATGAAATCAATACTCGCTTATCTCCGCTATCTTCGCCTTTCAAACATTGAATTGTCTTAATTAAATTTGTATTCGGCAATAATTTAGGAATAAATTTCTAAAGGGGTATTAAATTCACTTCTTCTTATTGGGTTGTCATACAAATTGAGTTCTTCCAAATTTATTGTTACATCAAAGACACACATTGCAAGAGCTGTACCTTGATTCTATCTTTTTATGGAACGCATTTCATCACGATTTCTGTTTTTCAGAAAAGACGACAAAATGTAATCCAATATTCTTTACACAAACGTCATTTTCCTTAAGAATGGAGTTATAGTGTAACTTCATTTTTTGTATATCATAACATTTTTATTCTGTAATATTTAATTAGAAGTACTCAAGAAAAATTATGAAAAAATCAACTCTGGCTTCTTACTTTAGTAATGCTTTAGTATCAAAGCTTATTAAATAAAATCTTAATGAATCTTTCGTTATGGAGTAAAATGTTTTTAAATTAAAAATCAGTAAAAGAAATAACTGCTATTTTTGCCATACTATCACATTAAACGGTATATATCATAAATTTGTAATCTAACTTGTATCATAAAAAAATTATTATGGTTATGCAACTAAATTGATTGAGATGAAATAACAGAATTTCTATAATGTACCTTAGATACTTTTGCTGCAGGAAGCAGGATAAGTTCAGATAAGTTTCGGAGACTTAGTCAGCGGTTGAATTATCATTCTTGATGACTTCTTACTAGTGGCGGATTAGATTACGGTTTGTAAGATGTACATGAATGGACAGATGTAATTTCGTGCCATGTTTTGCCAATATTACAATCTTATTGATGGCTACGTAGTGTAACTATTTTAGTTTAAGTGTGGACATACTGGCATAAAATCCATAAGTATGCATGGCAATGGTAGGTCGAGATTAACTTGACGAGAGTGCTTGATTGCTAAAGGAGTTCATGCTACAGAATAAGCACTCGTTTTGAACGTGTCGGGGCAAATATGTATTTACTCTATGGATGCATCAGAGGTAGTGGATTTTAGGTGTTCTACGTTAGCTAGAGGAAGATATGAATCGTAATACCCTCGTTCAAGGAAGCTGTTTGGAAGGGATTTTGGTGGAGTTAAGACCTAAATAAAAAAATATGGAGATTACGACGGTTTAGTAGTGATATTAAAATGGCTGTAAGAGACGAAATGCAGTAAAGGAAGGCTGATAAATCGAGGTTGGGATCAAACTAACACCAAGTAACTTATAGTTTCGTACCTGTGGTGTGTGAAGGAGATGAGATGATTCAAGCCTATTCTACATGTTGTTTTTTTGTTGTGACATTTTTTGGGTATGTTCCTTTTATGCTGATATGAGGGAATGAGTTGATGGCTTAATAAGGTGTACTGCAATTTTGTTACTATTACGGTTCGAGGCTGATCGAAATCGCGATTGTTCAGTCTTGAAGGTCCTGACTATTTTGGGGTTTCCTGCGTGATAGTCCTTGTTGGTTCGTGATGCTGCTGAAGTAACGGTTATTGAGATATCAATCTTTAAAGATAAATGTCTATATTTTAAGCAACACACATCACAGCAATTGTTTCAAATCAAGCTGAACAGCAATAAACAACCAGAAATTGAGGAAAGAACAAACGTTTAATGTAAACTTAGGTGCATTTGCTCCAGTAGTTAGTAACCATATGCAAATCGCCAAGAAACTATCTTCAACATAGATGGGATAAACTGTGACAAACGTTTTGAACAAGGTGTAATTGAATATATACGAAACATTACAATTCCTCCAACAGTATGGGGTAACACCTCAAAAAAGAACATTAAAAGAATGCAACTTTTTCAAAATAAGGTCATAAAAACAGACATCAATGCACCGTGAATCCAACAGATCAAATATACTACACTACACCAAAAGAAATGAAGACCATATCCATAACCTTCATCCTATAGTAAAAAATCTATCTAATCCTTTAGTCTATCTTACTTTCCCAAAACATGGAAGCAAGCAAATATCCTGCTTTTTTATAAACTAGTGTAACTTAAAAGTTACAGACTTATCAGTCTATTGCCAAACCTTTCGAAGCTACTTGGGAAGGTCATTCTTGACAGACTATATTCTCTATTGAATGAAAAACAAGTAATTTGTTGCAATTACTAATGGGCAATTTGGTTTTCGGAGGACATATTCTAAGATGTACCAACTACTCAGAATAACGGAATATATCGAGATTATATTTGAGACCAAATAGTAGTAACACTGTTTGTAGACGTCTTTGACAAGTTTTTTGGCATACATAAAATATCACCTCTTAATTATTTACAAGAAAATATTAAGTTATTTGTTGGAAGATCGTATCTTTAATGTTAGAATTAATACAACAAATTCGAAACTAAATGCATTGGAACTAGTGTCCCTCAGGGCAGCGTCCCTGTGCTATTTAACATCTACACACATGATATACTGGAAATTGGTACAAATAGCAATGTATGCAAATGACACTGTCCTAATTTGTAAGGATCATGACATGAAAATCGGAATTAATCAACTTGTCATTCGCAAATATAATTGCTAACTGGTTTAAAAAATGGAAACTGAACCTGAATGTTAATAAATGAAACTAAAATATTCGCATTGCGGCAAATTAGCTCAAATCTCGTTATTAAAATTAATGATGACCCTCTGCCATAGAGAGCTCACCCGGTTAAGTACCAGGAAGCACATCAACTATCACGAACTATCACGTAAGAGCAAGAACAATAAATATTGATTTGTGTAGTAACAATGTGTCTTATTACTATACAAATCGATACTGCGGCCTATCATGACTTAGGCATGCGGCGTATGGGTAACACCTCAAAAAAGAACATTAATAGAATGCAATTTCTTCAAAATAAAGTCATAAAAACAGCCGTCAATGCAGCATGGTTTCTTAGAAACAATAAGCTTTATCACGGACTATTGATCATAACTATTGAAATGTTTATTCATAAAACAGCTAAAAATTTTCTACAGAACTTGAACAAATGCGAGACAGCAGTAGAAACCAACCTGGGACAAAAAACATATATATCTATACAAAACATTTTGTTTTATTGAAATGGTTAAAAATAAAAACACTAGACCTAAAAATAGAAACTTTCGGGTTAAGCCGTGTGTCTTTTGAAAACGTGACTTCGAAGTCACGAATGCGATCATGCTTTTTACTTAAAACCGTTACTTACAAAGTGTGATTCTTTCGGTGATATAGGTCACCCATAAAGCCTTAAAGAACTTGAACAAATTTATTCTATGTGCAGATAAGTATATTTCTGTTTCAATTTTCTTCGTAAACTTAGTGTTACATATTCTTTTCCTATGATGTCCGCTATAACCTCTGTTACTCGTTTATTCTTCCCAATATGAATTATCGATTATTCTACGCACAAATTAGAAAGATCACAACACAATTAGAATTCATATCAGGAAGTTGACCGATAATTTTTTCCCTTTTGCTTTTTCCGACTCTGATATGGACTCATCCTTTAATTCAAACATTGTTTGTAATCGAAAATGCGTTGGAATTGATTATTCAATATTATTCTAATATGACAAATAACAATAGTGATGTGATTCTTGGGCGTGGCGCCACTGAGCGTTGTTGGCGAAATGTTGTTGTGTGAAGTTTATTATTGCTATAAAATAGATGGGGCGTCGAGTTTGAATTACCCTATACATATAAAATAAGGACCAAGTTTGGTGAATCCGTAGCGAATTCAATTATTCAATTAATACTCAATTATTATCATCATTTTTATAATACTTAGCTACACTACTTTAAATGTACCACTGACTCGCTCATCCTTTGGATGATAAGTAGAA